AATTAATTTTTGGGTGACTCCTATTTCATTACACTGCCAGAAGAATCTCCTTTGGGAGATCCATATGTAGATTCTGGATCCAATGAATGTTTAGTTTTCTGGTCTAAATAAGGCTTCTTGGAAGTGTGTTTATATATAACATTCCTTAAAGAAAAGTATCTGGGAAAGGTAAAAGCTGGAAAACGTAAACTCATGAAAAACAGACTTTTCAACACTTGCTCATATATCTTTTGATAGAAAAAACAAAACAAAACAAAAAAACAATAAAAAGTGACCAATAATAAAGGTAATATAAAAATGTATAACCAACATATACATCTGCATGTGTTAGCTTTTAAAGATGCAGTAAAATCATTCTTCAGGTTGGGATGATAATTCAGCCTTAAATGATTATCTAATAAATAAAGCATTAATGTAGGTTATCTTTTATCCACACGGGTTAAAGACACTTGATGATCACAGACCCACTTCAGCTCATTCATTTCTCATTTGCCATCATGTCTTTGTCTCATTTACAAAATATTTTTCTAAATGACGTTTAGTTAACTTCTTCTTCAGATTTATAACTATGTTGGATAATGGAGATCATTTGTGTTGAATGAATGCTAAATTCTGTCTATCTCTTGTCTCTAAGGTTGATTGCAAATGGCAAAATGTCAGCACACCGTTGAGATTTATATTAACGTGGAATGGCCTGGTTTGTCTGCTTAAAGGAATTTCAATGGGTTAACTTTTATTTAAGGCATTACTTGGATTTCTTCTGGCCTACATCTGAGGTCCGTTTCACAAAGCGGCCTTACTCAACCCCTGTATCTGTTACCATAGTAACATTGTCCCCGGAGCTAACCTGGGCAGGAGCAGGTTTTCCTAATTAAACTCAGTTTCCTCTTTCTCCACCCTCCTTAAAGCCAATCACGTCATTTTATTTCCTGATTTAATGAGCAGAGTTCTATCATAGCTTTGTGTGAACATAAGAAAAAAAATAATTCACTAGGTCCATTTGAGACATCCATCCATCCATCTTCTTGCACTTATCTGGGTTCGGGTTGGGGGGTATCCCAAGGCGTTTCCAGGCCAGTCGACAAACATATTTCCTCCAGCGAGTCCTGGGTCTCCCCCTGGGTCTCCTCCCAGTGGGACGTGTCCACAACACCTCACCAGAAAGGCGTCCAGGAGGCATCCTAATCAGATGCCCCGCACCATTTCAACTGGCTCTTCTCAATGTGGAGGAGCAACAATTCTACTCTGAGACCTCCCTGGATGACTGAGCTCTTCATCCTATCTGTAGGGGAGAGCCCAGACACACTATGGAGAAAACTAATCTCCGCCGCTTGTATCCGCGATCTCATTCTTTTGGTCATGACCCAAAGCTCATGACCATAGATGAGAGTATGAACGTAGATCGACAGGTAAATCAAGAGCTTTGCCTTTTGGCTCATCTCTCTCTTCACCACAGCAGACCAGTACAGGGCCTGCTTCACAGCAGACGCCGCACCAATCCGCCTGTGGATCTCCCGCTCCATCTTCCCCTCATTCGTGAACAAGACCCCAAGATACTTAAACTCCTCCACTGGGGGCAGTACATCCTCCCCAACCTGAAGATGGCACTCTATCCTTTTCCGGCTCAAGACCATGGTCTTGGATTTGGAGGCACTGATCCTCACCCCGGCCACTTCACACTCGGCTGCGAACCGCTCCAGTGAGAGCTGTAGATCACATCCTGATGAAGCCAGCAGGACCACATCATCTGCGAATAACTGAGACGCAATCCTAAGACCACAAAAACGGTTCCCCTCAACACCTTGGCTACACCTAGAAGTTCTGTCCGGTAGAACATGTCTGCCCCTAAGGATATGGGAATCAACCTCAATGACTCCCCTATACTAAGGGGCGGACCTGTTCGTCTGGTTCAATTTGCATGTTTTCTAAGCCAAAATAAGACTTTGTTGGGCAACTCTATAAAGCTTGGAACTCAAAGCTTTTTCAGATTTTTTTAATTGAAAAAACTTCCTGAATGGGAAGCGAAACGTCTTCAAACTTGGAAAACAAAATCCAGTGGTTTGTTTTTAACTCTTTTGAAACATGTGGACTAGTTGGACAAACTCCCATGCACCCTCCAGGATACTGCTGATCTAGTGTTCTCCGTGAGAGACATTAGGTGTTAAAAACAAATGTAGCATGTCTTTTAACGAGAATCTTATAAAGAAGGAGCTGCATTAATTTACAGAGACTTCATTTACCCTCACATTAGCAGCATTACACAGACTTCTTTATTATTTAACAGAATTTAAGAGCCAAAGAATAAAACAAAACTCTTAGACAGAGGCTGGTGCATCCTAAGGACGAACCCCGAAACCTCAGATGAGCGAGTGGTTAATGCATTTCAGTGCAATGAGGAATGCTCTGATCTTTCCATTGGAGAAGCCAAACGACCTCTCCACGGACGCATGGCTCAACACAGGTGAGCTAGCTCCTCTGGACAAGCCTCTTCTATCCATCTACACCGTAAGAACAAAGGACATTCGTTTCAGAACCTACATTTTTCACATTTTGGACAAAGAAGACAGGTGGTTTGAAAGGAGTGTGAAGGAAGCCATTTACGCTATTAGAGAAAAAACAACCTTTAACAGAGGGGGTGTACTCAGGTTTCAGCTCTCGAAAACCTATAAGGCAGATATAGCTGATTCACTCTCACTATCTCCTCAATTCTCATAGCCATGCAGGTGGTCAACAACATCTCGCCTGTTAAGCCAGGCCAACAACGAACCTAACGACTCCCCATTACAGAGGAGTGGGTCTGTTTTGGGTTATTTTGCAGGCCAACAACGAACCTAATCGACTCCCCATTACAAAGGGGTGCACCTGTTTTTCTGTTCCATTTTCATGTTTTCTGAGCCATAACAAGGCTATTGCTGGGCTATGCCTAGAACACAATGCTACTCCAGATACTTTGAATGGAGAAAGATTTCAGGATGGGAAGGGAAACGTCTTCAAACTTGGAAAACAAAATCCAATGGTTTATTTTTAACTTTTTTTTTTTTTTCATTACTATGACCTGGATGACTGAGAATCTTCACCAGCATATTAGTGAGATAACATTGAGGGATAACAGTGTTATAGAAGACAACTGCACAGTCAGAAACCCACTTAGTATTTACTGTTTAATGGAAGACGGAAATAAAATGAGGTGAAACCTATGAGATGATGTAGAGGTCCTACCTGTTAGAACAATGTTTTTACATGACTTCATCTTCACATGCTGACAGGTGCACTCCATGAGATTGAACCGAAATATAAAACATTGATCCACTACCATTCAACAAGTCAGCAATTTTTCCCGTAATGTTATGGTGATTACAACAGGTTATGGCAGGTTGTTTTGGCATTTATTAGTTTGCTTGAATATGTATTTTTGATATCTGAAATAATCTTTTTCCTTTTCAAAGTTAACATTTCAGACAAAATGACAATCTTCCTATCTGAAATAAACATTTTGGATGTCCAGAAATGAATTTCAGATCTCCATATTTATATTGTTAGTGGAAATAATTTTCATTATTTTGATTAGTAAGGAATCTATTTCAGACATCATTAATACATATTCAGTCAAGCTGATAAATGTCAAAACGACCACTTAATATATGTAAACATTTCTTGGTATATGATAAATAATTCTTACTAGTACAATTTCATTTTTTTATCAGCAGATACCGAAATTCAGTTTTTACTGCCAAAAATTTTATTAAAAAAATTATTATTATAGTTCCCACTAGCAATGTGGTTTTGACCAGGAAGAAGAATCCTATTTTGGTGACCTACAAACGGAACAACCAAGAGTGCTTTGAATAAATATCAATACGGCCTGCCATAACATACTACATACGTACTCATTAACTTATGTTACGTTCACCCCAGAAGCAGCAGAGGCAGCAGAAGCAGCTAGTGTACATGCATAGTCAATGGTTGACGTGCATCTCAGTGCATCAAAAGGTCCCTCAGCATGTCTGAGTAGCTAAAGCAGCGCCTCACAAGCTTCTTAGCATGAGGCACGGGACGCGCTGCAAAAGCAGCAGCTGCTGCTGTAAAAATTTAACTTTTGCTGCAAGACACCCCACATCAACCAATCAGAGAAGCTGATCTGGAAGCTGGCAGGGAGACAGACACAGCACTGCATGTCCTGCTGGTTGTGGTGTGAACGTACTCCATCTTTCTCTCTTTTTAGCTGTAGCACTGTTACTCTTTCCTTTAAACACATTCTCCTTTTTTTCCATTTCTTCATTAAAATCTATTGTTCCAGTGGTGTGAATTATGCACTTCATGTGGGCTGTTGTCATGGAAACTTGTAGAATTGGGGCTTCAATGATAATGGCTTTTCATACCTGTTTTGCATGCAATCAACTCTGAGTTGACCTAGTGAGAGTTGATTGTGAAATCAAAAACTCAAGAGTTTAGGATTTGAGTCTGAGTTTGTTAAACCTGCTTTATGAAACAGGCCTCTGCATAACAATAGGCTACATCTAAAACTGTTTCCTAAATCTTTTGCTAACAATTTGCTGTTCCTCTCAGTCCACCTTGCTTGCACTTAGTTGGACATTAAGGATTCTGTTCACTCAGCTACTTGCATCTGGAATCTTTGAAATTAACTGGACTTATCTCACTGAGTGCTTTTACTTCAAAACTAAACATTTTCTAGTCTAATTCAACATTTTTATGTTTCATTTGTTAGTGCACTTGGTTAAATCCTGGGTAAATAAAGTAAAATTAGAAAGAACAGAACGTAAAGGTCTATCTCTTTAAATATATTCTCAGATAAAAGAAACTATTCCTTTATCTTTGTGTCTTGAAAATGTGTGACTAAGTAAATATTGTGAAAGACTTCCAATGATAGGAACTATTTACTGCACAAGTTTTATTGTTTTCTTTCCTGGAAACAAAACAAAAAAAGAGCCTGAGGGGGATTACCCATGATGCCTTGCTACAGGCTTATATAGCAGCGTGCCCGCGCCGCGCGCCGCACACCCACTTAGAAACAGCTAAGTGATGTAAGGTGGCTGTCCTGCCTGTAAACAAGCCACACCGAAAACAGTAAACAACAGGATTTTCTGGGACATATGGTTGAATTAGCTGAAGTCTTCTTGTTAAACTGTAGCTGTTCTGGTCAAAAGGGAAACAAAGAGCCGAGTTTCCTCGAAGCTATCATGCTGAACACAGAGGAAAGGTAGGAACATGTTCGCCTTTTTCTCTAACAGTAGCTGTTGGTAGGGGAGTGTTAATGGCAGCTTTTATTTAATTCTAAGGAAGTTATTTAAATGCTGAACTTGCATTGTATCCGGAAGAAACAGGCGACAAATAGAAACACTCTGGTTAACAGTCTCTGTTTAAGGAGGAAGGAGCTGAACTCAGAATTAGCCGCAGAAATGAATAGAGATGGGCTTATTGTATTGAACGCTTTGTTTGACAGAAAGAAAAGCTCTAAACTAGACTGTTACAGAAAGTTGGAGTCAGTTTCCTCTTGTATAACAGGTAGCCCAGCAGCTTTTCCTCCCTGTATGCCTCCAAACATCAACCCTGTCCATGAAATCTTTCAACACAGCAGATCAAAGCAGACATGTTCGTTGAAGAAAAGCATGCAGACATATGTTGTTTACCTCAATTAGTTATTGGACAAATAAAGTTTGTTTAGTGGGTTTTTCTTCTTTTTCACTGTTAAATACACAATGCTACAATGTAACTGTTAAGCATTATTTATACATAAAACAAACTCAAATCTAGATACTGACACAGCACCTATCAGCTGTATTTTAATTGTTTTTCACATTTCTGATTGTCCTTAAGTTTTACCTGCTGCAGCAGTTTGTAGAAGATTTCAAGGCCTCTGAGAAGTAGAGTGTTGGAAACATATCAGGTCTTTTAGGTTATTAATCATTTGTAATAGGTGCTGAGGTGAAGTCAAACAGAAATAGGTTTTTAAGGTCTCTAAAATAGATAAGAAGTTAGACTGGTTAGCATTAGCATTTGTAAACTACAGTTTCCATGTTCAATTCTTCCAAAGATTAGCCTCCATTTTTAGTAAATCTTGGATGTTCCCCGGAGAGGAGGCAGCTAAAATCACAGTTACCCTTCCTGTTATCTCCAAAACTATTTTGCTCTTTAGCTCCCGGCTTGAATGAACCACAGACATGTTTCGGCAGGTCAAAGAAAATACAGTTGGATTCCTTTAAAAACAGCTGTCTCTCCTCTCTATGGTGGATTCCAGTCACCAGCTGATTTGGATTATTTTCTGGCGTCTTAGCTTGCTACACCTTTTCTTGAATGATAAAAGTCTGAACTTCTTGTTAAAGAGAAAAATGCTATGTCCTGATATTATTATCTGGGCAAAAAACATTTCTCAGTTAAAGGGCGACATTAGATCGGACACAGACTTCTTTTTCTGCATGTAAACCTCTACATTTTTGTCGTTTTTACTCTTTGTAGAGGGTTTGTCTGTTTAATATATGGCACAGGGATAATTATGGTTATGAAAACAAATATTCTATTTGAAATAACTGGTTTGAACTGCAGCCTGAGTTGTTTCTTTGTCTGCCTTTGCGTTCTGAGACATTCGGTCAATTAATCTCCTGACCTGCAGTGAGGAGCAGGGAGATGATTAACTGATGCCTTGACTATATTAGGTCTACTCCTATGACCCTGCCTGCTGATGGCAGCCGCCTGCCAACATCAGCTGGTTATGTAACCTCTTTCTGATGGGTCACCTTTCTACCGTCAGTGGAATGTGTGTGTTTTGTGCGGGGAGACACATGATCCGTCCTCGGCTACCTGAGTGCTGGTAAACGTCGTTCTAAATCACTGACAGATGGAGCTCTCCAGTTGTTGCGGGGAGATTCAAGAATGCATTTTCCATCAGGGACTGAAACGTAAACTGTGCCAGCCTGTTTTCAGCTGACGTCTGACTCTGGGATCATCAATCCGGGCCTGTTGACCTCTGTGGTCAATGATCTGCTGATTTACAAGCGCAGCGGTATGGATCGGGGGGGCTGTTTGGACTTTTCATCCATTTAGGTGCCTGCTGAATGAAAGCTTGTTGAGCGTCTTTGTAGAGTTTTTTTTTTTTTTTTTGGGTTGGATTTGATGTTGTTATCTAGCACGTTTTTATATAAGCTCTCCAGCTTGGTAAAAAGTGTTAAGTTGTTAAAAAGCAACGTCTAAAGAGCAGTTTATATAAACAGGTGTAAAGAAAAATAGACAAAAATGTCAGGAGCTGTTGGAGAAACGTCGGAGTTTGTAGTTGTGGGGGGACTACATGCTAAAGGGGCGTGAATCGTTTTTTTTTTTTTTGCTTTATTTTTCAGTTGGAGATTGCTGGCTCTGATATTTCTGGCCACTTGTTTGTGTCCAAGGTGGGTCAGCGGGTCAGAGTCGTGTGTTTTGACAGGGAGACGTCCATCTGTGCTCAGGTTTCACGGCACGTTTGCCTTTCCTGTTCTCTGTCTCCACGTCTTTTCCGATTCACAGTCCGTGGATTGGAGAAGTTCTGGGGCCTCTCCTGTTTACCTTCCTGTGTACAGCTCCTTTGTTTGTGTTGCAGCCAAAGCATTTCCTAGAAATGTCATTTGTCATATCATATCTGTTTTTCTTCTTCATGGCCCTCTGCCTTGCTCTACCTCACCTTGCTCGGCCTCTGAAACAATCCGACTGAATCATAAAATCCTGTGGCTTCAAGAAGAGCAGACCAGCGATGGAAGCGTCCGTCCTTTAAAACTCCCTCACCCATCCCTTCAGAACAGACGGTGACGCACTTGGCATCTCCAGGTCTTAAGTCCAGCACAAAGATGATTAAATCCTCACTGGCATATGAATGTTCTGTGGCCTTCATGCCGGTACAGCCTGTATCTTCAGACTGCAGTATGTAACCTACATTCTGTTTTTAGAGTCTCAACTCCAGGTGCGGACGGCGGTGGTCTGGTGATATGGGTGGGTGGGGAGGCTTTGCTAAGGCGGCGGCTGAAATGTCAGAGGACAAGAGTTTAGTCTTTCAAAACAACCTGGCCTTTCCATCAGTGTCTGTCTGTGAAAGGAGAGATGCAGAAAAAGAAGTAGGTCTGGACATGTTGGCCAGCTCTTCTACGCTGTGATCCACTATCCGTTTCATCCTGGCTGTCAAGCTTTCAGCCAAACTTTCTATTCCAGAGTCATTCAGACAGAGGGATTGATGGATTCAAACTGACAGTAAAATAAGATGAAATATAGAGTATTTTATGGAATGCACCAACACAAAGCCAGGGGCGGATCTACCATTAGGAAAAACTAGGCAGTTGCCTAGGACCCCAAGTTCCTGGGGGCCCCATAAAACTCCTTTTACATGTACTGTATGGTTAATACAGCTATTACTTATATTTGCACATTATGTTTTTGATCAAAATACTTTTGTTAAAAAACTTACTTTTTAGTTGATAAAAGCATGTTTCATTTTTCAATTGGATCCTCAGAAAGCAAAACTGATCCCAGCCCTATTTTATTGTACTGCCTAAGAATTACAACATTTTCATTTTCCTCCTACAATGTACTCACAGACCACTAGGGGTACAAGTACCCACGGTAGGGAATCACTGCCCTCAATGACCAAGAAGTTTCCCACATCATCCAAAACTCCACTTTATCTATACTGGGCCTAATTTAGTTCTTGATTAATCGGTAAGTGGAATAGAAAAACTAAAAATAAGTAATTTGATTTAAAAAATGAAATTACCCAGAGAAAAGATTAGGCTAAAATCATACATCTACATTTTTATTTTAGATGAAAAACCCTCTGTATGTAAGTATGCTGTTTCTAAAACTTTTCAAATAACTTAGTCTTAGTTTCGTGAAAAATTATCACCAGATGTAATTGATATCAATAATTTTTAGTTGGAGCTCCATTTGCAGGAGTTTTCAGCTCTAGCTGCACCTTGAAGTCCTCTGCTAGAGAACATTAAGAACAAATCTTGAAGGCCTTGTAACACCAAGCATTTTAGGGATAAAGTTTTAGAGAAGTTATGATAGGTTCCTCTAAAGCTGAGAAGATCTGGCAGACTAGCTTTCTAAAAATGACCATAAGAGACATGTCTGTCATATCTAAGCTGACAGGTAATAATCTGGGCTTTTTGTTTATGAAGCGAAATAAGTTTTCTTTGATGGGGAAAGAGTCTAAAGCTCAGTGAAAGTTGCTCAAGAATTATTTTTCATCCATCAGGTGACACCGAAGTGAGACTTCTTTCTTGCAAAAATGGAGATAAATACAGAAAGAAAAATCTGTAGCAGGTTTTTGACCCCAGAGTGGGCCTTCTAGCAGGAAAGCAGCCCTAAACATACAGCTGGAGCAATGATGAGATGGTTTATCTCCTTTACATCTTCATATCTCTTAGATGGCCTAGTCAAAGTCAAGAATGAGACTTGTGATTGTGGCTGTATCAAGTGAGCATTTTGTAGATATTGTCATTAGAAGATTGAAAATAAAAGCACACCTCTTTTTTCCACTGTTTATTTGAAAAAAACAAATGAAAAACCATGTCCTTGACCTTGTCTTTTACACAATAAGGTTTATAAGGTATAAGTTATTTTTAAAAAGATGTTTTTTAGTAGAATGTAATGCAGATTTCATTGCTGGTTTTTATTAGTCTGAAATAATTGAGAGGATAAATTGAAAGTGGAGCAGCAGTTTAATCCCATTCCTGCTCGATGAGGACGCAGAGCTTGCTGTGTGTTGCAACGTTTTCCACTGCACACCTCGTTGGCTTGTTAAGATCTAATCGTCCAGGTTACCTCTCCGGTCGCCGTGGTGATGAAACCACGCCTCCCAGATGTTCCTCTGTGGAACGTGACCTGGAAACATGTTCTCGCACAAACAAGTTGACCTGCTTGTTGTTGCTAGTGATCACGTGGCTGCTTTTAGTGACGAGGGTGACTTTGAGCCACCGGATACCGAGTATCTAAAGAGAGATGAACAAAACATCCCACAGCTCCATTCCTCAGCACAGCCACTCTATCCCATTCTGAAACTCCAAACCAAACCAGTCCCCAAGTGCCTGGCAAAGCTATTTACAGAGGTGTTTACAGATCTTGGGCTTGTTTATGATGCCTGCCTCCCAGCTCATGTTTTTCTGGACCTCTTTTGAACTCACTTCTAATAAATCACAGGCTCCTATGTGAGCCAGGATCCTTACAAACAAACAGCCTGTGAGGGTGAGAGTCTCTGGACAGGAACCTGCTACAGCACTCCTGTCTGTGTTGGATGAGAGCTACTGCAACCTGTGAGCAGCGCTGATTAGGTCCAAAGTTTAGGCTGGAGTGTCTGAGCTGCGTTTGAAATAAATCTTTAGGAATTTGAGTAGACCCTAATCAATCTTTCAAAGAAGTATCATCAGCTACTAAGACAATGGAAATTTCAGAACGCCCATGAGCAAAATAAACACTCGCATGTATGTTAAACTGCTTTTAATCTACAACTGCACAACATAAATTACACATGGTGAGAAACTGCTGCTCCAAGAGGAGAAAATTGCTTCCCGCACATGACAGCTCCTGCCAGGCGCGTTTGGATCAGGATCTCACTGCGGGCATTTTCTATTCAGCGGAGAAAGCAGAGAAATTTTCTCTATTTAATCTAATACCTGATTTACAGTAAAAAATACAAGCAATGAAAATGTTTCCACAGCTGTGTATGAATTCAGGTATTATGCAGGGGTGAGCAGTTCCTGGGGGCCGACATCCTGCAACATTTAGACCCAGCCTTGGTCCAACAAATGGCTGAGCTCCCTCTGCAGTATCCAGTCAGTTCCTCCAGAATCATCTCATTACTTGGTTCAGGTGTGTTGAGCAAAGTCACATCTAAAGGTTCCAGGATTTCAGCCCTCAGAGCTGCATTTCCCACCCCTGCATTACGGTGTTACCAAAAAGTTGTTTTCTCCTGTGGCTGTCATGTGGTTAGTTTGTTGGATGAATGTTTATCTTGAAAATGTTTTGTGACCAACTTGGTGCAAAAGTATCATCGGCGAGAAAAGAGGAATGTGTGTCCAAAAAGCAGCTGGAAGCTAAATGCACTTGATTCATTTGCTCTAACTCATGTTCTGTGGGTTGGATGCAGCAAAATATGGATATTTTGTGTTAAAAGTGGCCATTTAGGTGAACTTTTAGCATCTTTACTGTCTCGTCTGATCGACATCATGGCTTAGAAACATTATTGGTCGATAGAAAGCAAATTAATATTACAATCTTGGCTATCTAATATCATATTATTGTAATGTTTCACTCCTAAACGTTGACTTTAATGCTCCCTCCTGTTCTCCATGGGTAATGTTTGCTCAGTTTCTTTTTTGGTCTAAATAGAGACTATTTAGACCAAAAAAGAGACTTTATCATGTACAGTGGAGAAGAAAAAGTGATATCACTCTGAATAATCAGTCCCAACAATATCAGAATAATCTTCATTGGCCAGCTAACAGATGCTAACGTTGATAAAGTTAGCATCAATTTTGTTGCTTTCTCATAGCTTGAAGTGGAAGCTAAGCTACTACATTAAATAATCTTAAGTCTAAAATCATCTTGCTAAAGTTTTCCTTCATATCTTTAGATGGACGATGTAACGTCCTGAGATTAATTATAAGTTTCTAGCCTGAACCTTTTCTGTTTTAACCCCAGTTATCCTGTCACGGTTGAGCTTTGCTTTATGGCTATGTTTATGGTTTTGTTTGTTTTTTCAGTGCTCCTAATTTAAAAGCTTCCAAAAAACTACTGAAATCTGAAGATAAATCTCCTTTTCAATCCATGAGAGACAACTGAAATGCTGATTAGTTCTCCTGTGTTTTTATTTTGCAGTTCCTGGTTAGCTGGGGCCTTGACACCCAGCTCTATCCCTCAGGCTCCGGGGCCTCTGTGGTGCTCCTGATGCCCCTCACCCACAGCTGAAGATCCCGGGTGGGCGAGGGACGGTCAGGGATCGCTCTCATGGCGTGCTAATACACAAGGTAAAAACTACCAGAGATTACACCATCTTTTTATTCAAACTTCCAGCTTCTCTGCGTTTTTAAACAGAAATCAGCGGAAATTAAATTAGTAAATATTTAGAGATGAAGTCGGCTATAAGGCTTTGCTCCATGAAGCCTGTTTAAAGCTACAGTTTTAATGTAGCTCCTCTACAAGCTGAATTGTTTTTGAGGATAATAAATCTGCACGTGGTTTTTTGGTTCGCTTTAGATGATGATTGTTGTAATTGTGCAGAGTGCATTATCCTCATAGGGCTTTACTGACTCGCTGCTTTCAGCACGAGCACTTATTAATCACAGGCTTTCCGCTCATTTAAAGAATCCTTTATTAAAGCTTAAACTAATCCAGGTCCTCATCAACCCCACCTACCCAGGCTTTAATGCATAAACTCCCTCCGTCACATGGATTGATGGCGGCACGGTTGGATGTTAACCTGAGGAGGTAATCAGAATTAAACGTGTGCAGAGACGTGTGCGTCCTGACATGTGACGGACTCGCCAGTGGAGGATTAGAGATTTGGGATCAGACAGATCACTCATCACTGTCATTACCATCCTCATCATCTGCCAGTGAGCCAGCCGCCTGTCTGCAGCGCACGGCCCGGTACACAGAGACCTGATTTCTGTTCCTCTGACTGCGGGAAATAAAGAAGTGTGATAACCCTGCGTTACTGTCGGTTTATTAACAAACCCAAACAGGCATTCTGCTGATTCACCAAAAATAGCAGGAGTCAAACTACTTCCTCTATGATGTTTAAAAGAATAAAGCTTTTTTTTTTTTTTTTTTTTTTTTATTTCCATCCCTTAAATTTTTTATAGTACAAATGTAACATTTGATGAGCTTTGTCTGCTTTTTGTCCCGTTCTGGCAGGATGACAGGTTAACGGTGACCCGGACCTCCTCCTCTCTTCTTCGCTTCCACTACCAGCTCACCGAGCGCCGCTCAGCCTTCTGGGACACGGCGCTCTCAGGGGACGGCCTCTTCCTGGAGATTCCAGCAGGTTCTCTGGCAGATGGGAGCAAAGAGGGGTACGTTGAAGAACGTCTCCATTCTATGTGTTTTTTGCATCTGTTTTTTTTTTTACTTTTATTTTTTTAACTTATTTAATTATTTCTCTAACATAAGTGTTTTGGAAACCACTTATGCTTCAGGTATGTTTCAGAACTGAAAGCTGGCAGTTAGCTTTCTGTTTCCTGGCTGCTTTTAGCTGTGATCTCTGCCAGTAAGCAGCCCTGCTGCAGCTCACTGCAAGACAGTGAGAGCAGCCAGCTCTGCTGCGGCTTTATGTAAAATTGCATCTGTTGTGTAAAAAAAAAAAAAAAACTTTGTCCATCATCACTATCCCTCCTCTCCATCCGGCTCATCCATCTGTCTGATTGTCTCCGCTTCAGGCTGACTGCTCTGCTGGAGTTTGCAGAGGAAAAGCTCAAGGTCAACTATGTCTTCCTGTGGTTCCATAAAAGTAGAGAGGATCGAAGTAAGAAGCTCCTCTTGGTTTTTGGTTCACTTTGATGTTTTTTTGTTCACTTTGATTGACAGGCCATCACTACATTTGGTTAAAATGTTAAGGAGAAATTATTTTGTTGTCTAGCAGCTGGCAATCTCTGCTGGGTTTGTTTTAAGAAGAAGCGACAGACTTGTTTGTTAAAATAGATCTGATGTTTCCTCAGAGCCAGGCTTCTGCTTCTAGATGACTTCCTCTATTGGATTGTAACTGTTTCTTTGTTTCTCACCCAGTGGCCATCATCAAGACCTTCCACTACATGGGCTTTGAGATGGTCAAGCCGGGTAACCCAATGGTACCAGCCCGGCCCGACCTGGCCTTCATGGTTTACTCTCTGGACAACAGCAGCTCGGATGAAGAGTGATCCTCACTCCCTCCCTCACCCACCCACCCCTTCCCTCCCCACATCCCTTCTTGTTTTTAACCCTCTGACTGGGCCGCCATGGAGCCGCGGTCCTCCTCTGTGTCACAGACTCCTCATGGAGACAGGCTCACCGTGATGTCGCTGCATTTCTCCCGCAGATCGGAGAGGCTGCAGTTTGAACTAAGTCATCACATTTAATTTGGCCTTCTTTTGTCCCCTCATCCTCACTTTCTCTTTTTGCTTCATCGTTTTGTTTGCCTCAGCACAAAAAGGAAAAAAAAAAAAATCTTCGGGGAAGTCGGCATTTTCCCATTCAGCAGATCTGCTCCTCCAAACGGATTCAATCTTTTTACTGTGTGTCTTTGAGTGCTGTATGCGGCGCAGGCTATGATGTTAGGGGAATAAATTATGTTTATGGTATGTTTGGGTTTCTTTTTTTTCATAAGATTATAATCCTGATCTGTTTCTTTGAACACACTGACGGTTCCTTTAGCTTTCTGCAATATGCGTCATTCCAGCATGTGTCCCCCTGGTTCAAGCAAAACACTGCACTAAACGAACCGCCCCCAGCCCCATGCAAGCCTCAACAGGACGTCCTAAAGCTTTAGTCATACAGCAGGTGCTTCTGTGCCTAAAGAGGAGCATGCATATTCAGACCTGTGCTTTAATCAATCAGGCTGTCCTTGCAGAACTCATCATGCAAATGCAGGGAAAAAATAAAACACTGTAGCAAACACAGCTGTCTAAACTATTATTTCTTTATTTCGTTTTTTTTTTTTTTTTGCCTGAACTAAACGCCAAAGAATTGTCTGTCGTTGAAGTTCTAAGTATAAGTTACTCATCACATCCTGTATATCAACTGTTACATTCCCCAAACGCACCGTTTGCCCCTCCTCAGCTTCACATCTGTGCTTCTCATTCAAGCTCTCTTCTGCTCCCCGACTCTAAGCTGTTCAAGGTCAACACATGAAGTTTTATTTTGTAATCAGAATGAACATTTTCTCTGCTGTTTTATTTTTTTATTTTTGTGACTATGCAGGGATTTACCTATTTTTGTTCTTAGTTAACGACAGATATTCAGTGACGATCCGCACTTATCAGATTTGTCCTTTTGGCAGGGGTTGGTGTTTCAATAAAGGTTCTTAAGAAAATGTGTTTTGGTTTTACTTTGAAATATTAAATCTTTAAATGTCTTCTTGCTTTAAACTGCTTTTTTTTTTTGATACAATCCTGTAAGATTATTTTCATTTGACTTGAACTGTGACATGTGAATAAAATCAACTTCAAATCAACTCTAAAATTCAGAAAGACACGTCAGAAATGCACTTAATGCTTTTTCTTTTTGCTTTGAGGAACCAGGTGGTGACAGTATTATGTTGTGGGAATGCTTCCACATAAATAAGAACGTTTACAGGTTTAAAACATCACGGTTAGGTCTGACTGAAGCTGTGCTAAATTTGCAAACAGGACAAAGAAGTGGAGAGACACTTAATTGGTTTTCCACACTTCAGTTATTAAACATTGAAAACTTAACTTTTTTTAAATGTCCTTATAGTGCCCTGCTTTGTGGGTGTTAAGGCATGTAATAAAGTTGGCCACTAACTAAAAAGATTAATACATAAAAACAAGGGAAGCATTGAAGCTAGAACTGATTGTTTCAGTTTTGGCTGATGTTCACCTCAGAACCCTCAACAAATAATCTCCCAGGTCAGAAGAAGAAGCGATCTGTTCCCAGGACTCTCCTTTGAAATGGCAGCGAAATTTTACAAAAGAAGACAGGAAGCATTTCAGGACAGTTAAGCTGCATTGGAACCATATTTCTCAGATATTGTCCCAAATTTCCCCTCATCCTGTTGAAGATTCTCAGTCATCCAGGTCCTAGTCATAACAAAAAAGTTTAACAATCCACTGGACTTTGTTTCCAGGTTTGAAGATGTTTGACTTCTTTAATTGAAAAAGCTTCCTGGATGGTAGGTGAAACATCTTCAAACTTGGAAACAAAGTCCAGTGGATTGTTTTTTTTAACCCTCGTACTGTTCAACGGCAGTGGATGGCGTCATGATTTCACCTTCAAGGAAACTGAGGAAGCTGCAGATCTAGAGCCCAGTCTAGATGCTTTAATGTAACTGCATGGCCCATGTCACCCTGGAGCTGTGCCACTAATCCCTGAACTGAACCGCAAGAAGCAGAGAGTCTCCTCCTGGCCTTAATCTTATGGTCACTTTACATAAACTCTCCTCACAGGGACGGAGATGAGCGATTACAGCATCCCTGTTTCCACTGTCCGACATGGGATATTTAAACTCCACTGCTAATCCCCTCTAAAACATTCACTCTGCTGCAGTTTGGATGAGAAGCGGCGCTGCTGTCTGCTTGTTCCTTCTCTGGGTGTTGCATCTTCAGTTCAGGAGTTTCATGACTGAGAACATTATTACTGGTATAGAGTAAGTAATTACATGGAAAATGTCCATGTGCCATCAGCATGATAATGCCACTGCTGTATATCATTGTAGGGATGGTGCGTTTGGAATTAGGTGTTTTTAACATGATAAATATGTATCACACCAGCTGTGTGGCTAGAGGGAAGCTGAAGCTTCAATCCACAGTCAAGTACATCTGTAAATCCATAGAAATCATAGAGCAATGAGGAAAATATAAACCTTTTGTGTGCAATGTCATGTATGAATGCGCTCCGTTTCTTTTTAGAGGTTCTTTATCTGGAAAATGTGACACACTTGAGACTTTACACAGAGTATTAATTGAAAAAGTGACACTAATTATCTGTGAAAATAGGGGTTGATCAACAAATAAAACAACAGACTGCTGATCCCCTGCAAACTAAAAGAAATATTTATATATATTTATTTATATATACAAAGAGAAGTAGAAACCAAGTAAAACCTTTTTTCAAAACTTATGAGAACCAAACAAATGTAACTAAATATTTAAGCAAACAATTTAAAGAGATGATTGTTTTAGTGGTCTTGGGGCCACAAAGAAAGGACTCCAACACCTTTGGTGTTTATTTAGTTCTAGAACGAATCAGCAGGTCTTGATCCCTGGACCTTTGGTCCTGATGTGGATCAGATGTTACAGTTCAGAAACCAAAGTATTGAAATGCATTTGATGTTGAAGCCAGTGAAGTTGCAGTGACAGAACAAAATCCCAGCAGCAGAATTCTGCACAGGCTGCAACCATTCCAGGTTTTTTTTTTTTTTTTTTTTATGTGTGAAGTGCATTACAGTATAAAAAGATGAGATAAAACAAAAACACTGATCCAGAGTTCCTTTTCTGGATGAGAGGCAGGAAAGCAAAGTTTGACAATATTTCACAGATGCCAGAAACAGCAACAAAACAGAGATTTTCCATGATTTTCATCTTTTATCTTTACTTTTTTCCTGGTGCAAAGATGACTGGGTGGCATTTAATCAAAACTAGATCTCCTCTAAATTTGACAGCTTTTCTGGATCCATTTTTGTACTTGTTACATTTTATCTTTTTTTTTGGGTTAACTTTGACTTAGACAACTGGTATTGTCATTGTCATACACAGAGTGTATAAAAAACTGTTGTTTATTTAATAAAGGAACCCTGTTTTGAACATACACTCACTGCTCAGTCCATCACAGTAACAGTCAGGATAAGAGTTTTAAAAAACACCCCCTTATTATTAGGATATAGGATTATATGTACCTTATTGCACAATGAGGGCAGTCATTAATAACTGTATAAGATGTGGGGCACCAGGGGCAAAAACAAGCACAGCTTTGTGTTTTTATTTCCGTGTGAGGACATTCTGGGTGTTTTCAAAAGATGTTTTCTTTCGTGAGACCATCTAGTTTGTTTTTCAGTTAGATGATGATGTTTACACGTTTTAAATAATGGCGTTTGTGGGGAACTAGTCGATGGGACATTCTCCAGCTCATTCCGATGGATCTCAAATCTTTTCCACATCCAGGATTATCCAGATTATAAAACACTAATTTAGTTTACATTATATGGTAAAAAGGAGGGTTTCAGTGTTACAGGGTGGATATTATGCTTTATTTCAGAAAAGAACCTTTAATAATCATCTATTTCCTATCAATGCCTGCTTGTGTTTCCAGGCTCACAGGGGGGCTGGTGACTGAGGAATGAGGCAACTCCCTGGATTATAGTCTGTTCTTCAGAAACACTCAAATCAACCTATTTGTTCTTAAGAAAGTTCAGTCATTCTTCACTGCTCATCCTCCGCTTTCTGTTTTATCTCCTTCTGTTTTTCTCAGCTTTATCTGCTTCTTCTATAGCCTCTTGTTTTGCCCACTCCACACATTTCACCATCCCAACACAGGACTTCCTCTTTTAGCTAAGAATGGCACTTTCACCAATGAAAAACAGGAATAAACCAAACAGAAATAAATCAAACTCTTTTTTTTCTATTTCCCCAGCGACTCGTTCTAAGAGCAAATGCTGACCGCCTGGCCTCCTAATAAACTGGTTAGACAGGAAGTGTTACCTGGTGTTTACCTTTCTGTCTACTCTGAGTTTTTCAGCCTCCTTTCTGTACAGATATATGAAACCGTATCTGCTCAGACTGAGAACTGAGACTGGGTTATATAAATAAACTAAGAATAAAAAACTAACAAAAACAAAATGTCTCAAAAGCATCCTTCTTCTTGAGGAGAATGTAAGAAAATATATATCAGAGATTAACTCCAAACCTCAAGTTTTTAGAATGGAGATGCTCGAAATCTACATCAACTGATAAAAACACAGCAGGTTCTTTTGGCAGTTTACCTGTCAGCCTTCAGATCAATGAGATGCTCTGTACCGCCCCCTAGTGTCACATTCTGACATTCCCCCTGAGCTTTTTGAAGATTGTTTAAAAGCCTTTGTACTTCACCAAGGGATCTTTAAAGTTTACAGTTGTTCAGTTTTTATTGGATTTGTTAAAAGTTCTCAGTGATACTTTGAAAGCCTGACTAATATCACTACACCATTTTAAAAACCTTTTCTCTCACATGTCTCTTTTTTCCAATTGGTCTTTGTTATGTTTGTTTGTTATCATTTGTTTGCTGCGCTATACTTTCTTTTGCGATTTTTGAAATGGTTTCTACTTCTTTGTGTGTGGAATAAAATTAACTCCATTATTGAACGTCAGCATGTTTGGGGGTCACTGCCCCGAGTGCCCCAATGACCACGGGTACAACTGATGCCTTGACCTTCCATGTTATCTCCAGCTCTTCTCTGAGCTCCTGGTATTTCTCTAGTTTCTCATGTTCGTTTTTCTTCATGTTGCAGTCACTTGGTATTGCTATGTCAACCACAACTGCTTTCCTTTGCTTTTTATCCACCACCACAATGTCTTTTTGGTTTTTCATTACTATTCAGTCCGTCTGTATATGCAATATATGATATATAACAAATCTGTATATATATATATATATATATATATATATATATATATATATATATATATATATATATATATATATATATATATATATATATATATATATATATATATATATATATATATATATATATATATATATATATATATATATAAGCCTATAACAGCATAACTATAGCAGAGAGAGCAGAACGTTAGAGATTGAACTAGTAGATTCTGCAGAGTGGGAAAATAGAGATAGAATGAAGCAGAATGATGAAATAGGGGTCCCTATGTCCTCCAGCAGTCTAAGCCTATAGCAGCCTATATAACTATAGAATATCTCAGGATAACCTGAGCTACTCTAACTATAAGCTTTATCAAAAAGGAAAGTTTTAAGCCTAGCCTTAAAAGTAGACAGGGTATCTGCCTCACGGACTAAAACTGGTAGTTGGTTCCACAGGAGAGGAGCCTGATAACTAAAAGATCTGCCTCCCATTCTACTGATCAGGGGGAAAATCTAGGATTCTCGGAAATCAGGGGCTTAGCCCTGAGGGTGAAGATGAGAGTGTAGACTTCCTGCTGATCCCGTTGTAATGTAAAATATGACAGATTACTGGATTAAAGAAATTTCTTTTATACTACATGCTATCACACATAAGAATTCATTTAACTGTGTTTTTTCCTCTTTATCAACAAACTATGTGTGTTTGGGGAATCATTATTTGCCAGAGTAATGAGAAGGAAATCAAATATTTTAGTCATCTAATATAATCCGTTC